ACAATGCACAAGGTAATATAAATAATTAGTCAATTGTATATAAATATTGATAAGAAGATCATTGATGAACCAAAAAAAAACATCTTCAATTGAAATTGAAAACGCCAAAAACACGAACAATAGCTGAAAAGAACTTTTTTTTTTTTAAATGATACAAAAAATAAAACACCCCTATTAGTTCATTTAATTGAAACAATAACGATGACGTGATACATTTTATATTCACTAATTATCTGTGTATTAATTGTATAAATTTCATACATGTTGCAAATGTAAAAAGAAACAATAAACAAATGCTAAAAATAAAAGCATTGTTATTCTCATTTTAAACTAATTCTATAGTAAATATGACACGAAAAAATAATATCATATCGGAAAGCACAATTTGTTTTTACCTATATTAGATAATCTCACTTTAAAAAAAAACCCTATATAAATATTAATCGATTTTTATATTTAAAGAAAATTCAATTATTTTGTTTTTTGGAAATATTAGCTGAATCGTTCAAATTATATATTAGCATCGTCTATGTTTGCTCTATTAAACAGCGTCAGATACAATGATAGAGAACCTGAGTGGTCTTTTCTTTGCGCCAGACATTTATAAATTATGTATTACTTATCTCGATAGTACACTCAATATAGACTACTAGCGTCAAATATTTACTAGTATTGTATCCAATAAACTGTCATGTACACAATAGAGATTATTGCTGAAATCTTTAAAGGGGAATTGTAAAGTGTCAACATCAAATACGTATACTATACATGCATGTGCACGAATCGGTGTGCGCATAAGCTTTGCAGATACTATTTAATTGGCAGTTTACCCAGCTAACATATACCCCAAAAAACTGAAAGTAGACACCAGATAACTGGTTTTGGGTATTTAAAACAGTTATCTAACAAATACAGCTATCTATTGGCATTGACATTACCCAATTGTTTTTTGACCTTGACAAGGGGAAACTACACTGGACTATTTGAGGTCAACGCCGGGATCGAACCCGAACCGTCTCGATTAGCGATCCAGCACCTTACACACTGAGCTACCGTAGTTGCTTTAGAAAATGGACGTTAAGCTCTATATTTCTTCTGGTTAACTATACAACAAACTGCTTAAATATTTAGGAGTAACATTTAATGCAACAAAAATATAGTTATGCATAGAATAATAATCCAGATAATATTAATTAATGCAGTTGATAAAGATAAAACAATGAGATAAAATTCTGCGGTGCCCTTTAACGGGACATTAAGAGTTTTCAACGAGAAATATGAATATATTAATTATATGTAACATATTCAAAATAACTTTTGGTCCAAACTGTATTCAAATCATTGGTCATTTAAAGTTTGCATTGGTTTCCATTATTTCCACACCGCCATATTTATTTCTTAGTTAATAACGTAATAATTTTTTTTTTCATTTGGATGAAAATGGATCATGGAACAGGTATAGCTCCTCATACACAGCATATAAAATATATTGTAAACAGATCTGCTATGTACATAATGGGAAACAAATACAATCATATAAAGAAAGTCAATTGTATACACTATTTATAAAAATAATAATTCTACTTTCTTTTTCTCACTGTAGCCAATCAGACTTCTTTTACATGGATGTACTTAGTAACATAACAACTGTCTTTATATTCATATAGGGTGGGGGCGAATGGTTAACGCGTGCGCGTTGCATCAAAGGTCTATCATTGAGTCAAGTGGCGTGGTTTCGAGTCCTCGCTTGTACGTGACAAGGAGTAGAGTCGCCTGTCCAACCTGGTGACTTTCCTCCCACTGCTAAAGACCCCTACTCGCATGCAAATTATTGATATAAAATTGAATCATATCCCGAAATGACCTAGTTTTGTGGAGTGCACGTTAAATCCCATTTCTCCCCCTCTCTCTTTACATTCATAATATATATGAAAAAAATAGAACTCAAGTATTCAATTTTACATGTAAGCCTACACTAAAAATAACACAATCTATATTTTTGAATAATTGCGTAAAATTTATTTTACTTTGTTTTATCGTTAATTCGAATCGTCTTTCGACATAAAATTTGCTATTTAAACAATTGGCTTAAATGGTTTACTCCTAACATCACATTCTATTATATATATGTATATATATTTTATATTATTTGAAAAGTTTATCCTTATTCCCCGGAATATCTGGACTTATATAATCTCAGCAAATAACACGGTCCACAGACAGCAACTTATATTTCATCATTTGTCTGATAGAATTATTATTTTTTCGTTTTTCAAAGGACCCCAAAAAGCCACAATATATAATAGCAATAACGGTCCCAGTTTCTGACTATGCTTACACAGGCATGACGCAAGTTGGAAATCGTGCAGCTGAACCATTCGTTGCTTTTCCCATGATACCATCATCAAAACAGAACACAACAGCCATAATCCATAAGACAAATTTTACTCAAAGTTTTAAGAGATATTTAACTAGAAGAAATCTATAGAACGATGTTCCAGGTAGTGTTAGGTCGATATACAATAACGCATTCTCCCCGATCATTTTTAAGGTGAAAAAATATTTACGGTTTCCTAAATCAATTTCCTGTATAATCATAAAAAAAAATGTGGAATTCAAGACTAAAAATAGGTTATAAATCTGTAAGCTTCTCCATATGTATACAAATTCCTTTTTTTTTTTTTGTGAAAATTATAACGGTGATATTGTTGATTGTAGCCTACGAGCCGCAAAGATAGGCGATGACATTGTAGAGAAATATCAGTCCACTATACGTCCATCTAACTTATTATTTATTCTAACGGTATTTTTAAAAAAATGTATACCAGGACAATTCGTGTTTATTCCGTTTAATTACCTACTGAGCATGCGTGGTGAATGTAGCCCACGTGACTCGGCGCGCTTCAAACAGGTGCAGTGGTATTCATGGCATCACAATACAAAGCAATATTCATTTCTTGAAGCTTGTCAGTTTCCCATACTTGGGTGACGCGATACGCAACTTAACATCGGCCCAGTATTGAACAGACTTGTGGTACGGACACTGCTGATGTGGAAACTTAAGCGGCATTAGAGACTTGTTTTATCGTTGAACGAACATGAAACAACAAACTTTGATGGGGTTGTCGCCTATCTCAGGTGGCGGGAACCTACCGGGTCGGTATTCCCCGGCATACCGACCACCAGAACGAATGCGCTGTATGACAAGTAGTTCGGTATGTTTGGGATTATTTTATTATTAATAAGCTTCATGTTGGCTTTTCATTTGGAAGTTCATTAGCTATTCTGGCGGCCGTGTATCCTATATGTCTAACACTTTCGCTCTTGGCTCGTCCATTATTTGCTGTGTTTCATATTTTATGAAGTTGGCAGCGAGTGAGTAAGATTCGTGACCGATGTATTTAAGTAAGCATGGATTATAAGGTATAGAGTGTTTTCGGATATTATTGACGACTGCTACAAGCAACATTGATTTTACTTCAAGATTGGCTCATTAACACTTCTCTATACACTACTTAACTCATTATCAGAATTTTTTATTCATAGTAAAATGGATATTCTTTTGTTCTGGATTCTAAGAAATATAGAATTTAATTCTGATGGATTTTAAAATTTACCGGATATCTTTTATAATTTAGAGTGTTTCTTTTTAATTTCTGAACATTTGTGTTTTTAATGATTTGTGGTTTTTTTGAATTTTCAGTTATAAACTTGTTAGGATTTTTTGTGTTTGTTTTTTCATTTATTTTATAGAAATGTTCTTGTTTCTGCGATTGAAAGATGACATACACGTGTGCACAAATCATAATTAAAAATTCATGTTTGGGGATTATAAATTTTCAGTTTATTTTCATTATTATTAAGGAATAGAAATAAAGACAGTCGTTTGTATTTTGCTACGTTTTGTGTCTTGTTAATTTTTTTGTTTGTTTTTGTTGAATTTTTAATTTGATAAATTAGTATTAGACAAGCCATGATGAAATATTTATGGGGTTCTGACATAAATGTTTTATTTACATTTTCGGTTATCTTATTATTAAGTTAGCTTTATCGTTCAGTCTTCTCATTGTTTCGTGTTTGTTTTAAGAAAATAGGGATGTTAGCTAAATAGTAATATTTAATTCTATCATTTTCTTTTTGCAATTGCATAATTTTGACGGGAAAACCATTTCAGATGAAAATGTGAACCCATTTCTACGGTTGGATCTTTATAACTATATATTAAACATATTTTAAAACCCTTTTCACCAGATCTTTGAAATGATAATCGTGAATACCGTAATTATTAATAAAATCCCGTTAAATTAACTATTTAATTTCTATGTTTTCTGCGTGTACGATAATTTGACCAAAACTCTAAGAAACGTATATATCCTTGTGTGACATTCCCAAGGTCCTGTTGAATATTTAATAAGTATTGTGTATACATTGATAAATAAAGGTCATATACTTGTATGTAAATACTATAACATGAATAAATTATGAACGGAGCTTACGGAGCAAATAACAGCATTTTCTTTACAATATTTTCTCATTTAGGATGATTGAATGAATTTCTGTAAAGTGTAAATTGTGTTTTCTTCAATTTCAGACATTTAATTCGTAGTGACAGAAAAAAAATATCAATTTATTTGAAATAATTCATTTGTAATATATGTATTTATGTTTGCTAGTAACTGTGAACCGTAAGGACGGGATGAGTTATTAGAATTGATACATTCAGGTTCTTTCCCACGCGATGCGATGTTTTCCATGTACTGGCAAATTTCAATTAAGTAATTGCATTTTTTATTTTTAATGGAACGAATTAAAGAGAAAGGGACCTGGATATACACGCATTATTAAAACCAGGATTGTCAATTTTAGTACAGCACATTTTTACAAGATGGTTTAGGATTCTTTTCTTCAGATACTGGACGAGTACACGCTTTCTCGTCTTTTGATATGTTTAACGCTATAGATTGTTTTAATGTTAATGAATCCCGTTTTTGTCTTTTCAGGGCAATTTCTTTGGAGGCTTCGATGATGGAATCTTGGCGCGAGCGGAAGCACTGGCTGCCGTGGACATCTCCAAACCCTCCAGCATGAAACCAGAGGGTCTTTACGGCCACACTCCCGAATTCACCGGACATAATATGCATATGTCTCGTTCAAACATGGGCATGCACAGTCATCCGAGTTCCTTTGGACCTTCAGACAGTATGCTAGATCAGCTAACGGGAAGTCCCACAAGCATGTCTCTCGGACCGGTCACCAGCATGTCCGATCATCATAACCAGATGAGTCACCATCACCAGATGTACAACTCAATGTACAGCCATCCCAATACCATCAACAACCACCCGGGCTTTCCACCTCATCCCGCCTCCATGCACCACCCGGTACACGATACAGATTGTGATCCGCGGGAACTGGAAGCCTTTGCAGAACGGTTCAAACAACGAAGAATAAAGCTGGGAGTAACGCAGGCCGATGTGGGCAACGCGCTGGCCAATCTGAAAATCCCCGGTGTCGGGTCGTTGAGTCAAAGTACGATATGCAGATTTGAATCACTAACTCTTAGTCACAATAACATGATAGCTCTGAAGCCCATTTTACAAACTTGGCTGGAGGATGCCGAGAAGGAGGCACGAGAGAGAAAGATGGAAGGAGAAGCAAACATGATGGGCGGACCCCTGGATAAAAAACGGAAACGCACTTCTATAGCAGCACCAGAAAAACGCTCACTCGAGGCTTATTTTGCTGTTCAGCCTCGACCCTCGGGGGAGAAAATCGCTCAAATCGCTGAAAAACTCGAACTCAAGAAAAACGTAGTGCGTGTCTGGTTTTGCAATCAAAGACAAAAACAAAAACGTATGAAGTTTTCGGCTACCACGGCGGGCATGGTTCATCATTAATTACTTCATTGGTCGTGTTATATGTTATTTTAAAAAGTGTGCTAAATATTATATTAACGACAAAATAGAAGTCGTGACAGTAATTTATTATAATAAAAATAAAGCAATTGTCTATAAGACGTGTGCTAACTGAAAATGTGCAATTGTGTTTCCAGATGCATTCTGGCCTCTCAACCAGGTTACCTAAATTAGTGTGTGATACGTCAATTTTATTATTATTATTATTTCTATTATTATGGAATGTTTTATTTTGACAGAACTTTGACATTAGTGATTCTATACGTATATATATAGATATATACAGTGTGAGTATTATTAAAAATATCAGAACTATTTGCATCATCATTTCAAGCTAAAGGAATTCTTTTGGATTCTTTCATCTTCAATTCATGGTATATTGAGCATCACCGTACTAATTACCATTACCACAACAAATCTTCATTATCATTACTCCCGTTGTTACAAATTAAATGCATTCACTCTTAATACGGATTCACTTTGCTCAATGTTATTTATTTTTTGTTAATTTTTCATTGTGATGTTATTTGTAAATATTAATAGAATTTCTGAGTGTATATAATTAATATACTTATAGTCATATACAGCTAGGTTTTAAGCTTTATCGTCAGTCTTTTGTAGTTAAAAGCCCCTTTTAATCAATACATTGAATGTTTTTAAGAGATGTCATTGGTGTGTAAAAGAGCATTATGGCTCTTGTTTCTGCGTTTAAGCATGGTAAGCCGGTTGTAAAAAACGAGATTAGTCTGTCAATGTTGCAAGACAAATCCTCTTTAGTGAGACGGAGCTTACCGAGTGAAGTATTTAAGTATTTAATAATGCCTTGAGTGGTATTCCCTGCAATTAACTTTGAAGACTGTTTAAATGAATTTTACTCTCTGATTCATCCCAATTTTCATTTTAATAAACCGTTAAGCAAATTCGCATAGCTCGCGAAAACGTATCATCTTATCCAATAAGGACTATAATAACTATGTAATTTTAGGGTAAGACGGTTATGCTCCCATTTCACTGTTCCCATATCGAGCATTAAAATACAAGGGAGTCGTATATAGAGACGCTTTCACTTTATCACCTCCGGGGTTACAGTTAATAAAGGCTGACCCCTGTTCATTTCACACTTAGAACATCTGCCGTTTTGTAAAGGAAATTTGTTTAAGGTCGGTAGAAAATTGAAGCACCCTTAGATAATTCATCGCTTCTCTCTCTCCCTTAAATAAGACTTCACACGGCATCGCTAAGACATATTGATTACCTTTGTAAGATGCTAAAAAAGTAAAGAAGGGCATATTTGTTACTTTGAATAGTATAGGAAGAAATTCCCATTCAACGCTATTATATTATAATCATTAACAAAAACACATCCTTTCATCCTGTTACTAATATAAGTTGGTCAAAATTATTATTGTAAACATCAAACTATTAGAGATCTTTAGATCTCAATGAAAGGTGTTATTTATTGTTTAGTTCGCCTTTACGAAATATGAATCCTGTTCCATATAACAATATCAGTTTTCATAATTGCTTGGTAAAGCGAGTTAAAAAAATATCATGCAAATGATACTTGCATTCACGTCTGAATATTATGAGTTCTAGAAAACCGACAAAGCCAATTTAAAACACCTCGTTGTGAAATATATTTGCCATATTTTTATTTATGTTTATTTAACTCATTATTTATTTAATCTTTTTTTTTAAATAAATAATATTCAATATTTATTTTAAATCCACACTCAATGATCTCTCAAGTCTTTTGTCTGTATTCATGTCGTGTGTTTATTATGTGATTTTGTGCATTTGTATTTTTTAGAAAAAAAACCTCATTAACAAGAAGCCCGCGGCCTCGGCAAATTACTTAATTAAATATTTATGACTATTCTGAGTCAAGGAATGTCATTGTATCTGTTGTGCACATATATCTAAGATGACTTATTATCTTTTATGTTTATTATGTTTACGCTTTATTCCAATTTGTACGTTTTGTGTACGTCTTGTTTTCACTCGTTTTTTTATGTTTTATTTTTATTTACTATGTGGTTTTTTTTCATCGAACAGTTACCATTCCGCATGTAGGTCGAATAATTGTGATATTCGATTATTATTATGTCTAAAAGAACAAAATCTTCAATTATTCTACAAAAAAAAAATATATCAAATTCAATTTTTTTATACACCTTTTATTTTGAATTATTTTTTGTTAAAGGTTTTACATTGTTGTGATATATATCATTATATATTTTTTATTTTGATTGGTTTTTTTTTTTTTTTTTTTGTTTGTTAATTATTTTTAATTTTTAAAGTTATTTATTTGGAATTATTGTCTCAATGAAATCCTCGTTTCGTATCTTTACGACGATTAACTTCAATTGGTGACGTCATACCAGTTACTGTTTTTCATAATACTGCATTACAACTAAATTGTCTGTAATATTAACCGGTGTAAATGGATAATACATTAAACAAAACATTTTACAATAGTAGCCTAAATAAACGATTTTTAAAGGGAGTCATGTTTACAATACCGGCTTCATTACTTTTTGGTTATTGTTAGACGAAATGGGCCATAGGAAATTTAAACCCTTGACTTATATGAATTATTCAGTGTCATTTGAAAAGAACTTGATCATATGTAGTTATTTAAAATCATAAAATTTAAAAAGAAAAACACTAACAATTTCCCTTTAACTTTTTAAAAAAAAAAAAATTATATAATTACGATATTGATCGGTTATATATTCATATGCATAGGCTACCTCTTTTATAATCGTATTTAAATGATATTTTATGCATTTCGTTTTTCGTGAAATGTGAAGAATTTTGTAATCAAAAATATATTCTTACATGTACTTAAATGCAAATGTCTTAATGAATGTTGTTTATCCTTTATACAAATCAAAATATAAATAATTTATGTTTAATGATGCTCTTGTTTTTAATGCAATATGTAATAATATAAGTAATACTCTAAATGTTATTTATATACATTTTGATGATGTATATAATATGATGTATACCCAACACGAGAATCTGATTGTATATAATGTGTAATATAATAAAACATTTTTATAAACAAAACAACATTTTTTTTTATTTATTTCTTTTCTCGTAGTTTGTTTGCCATTGGTGTTATGCACGTCTTTACAGAGATTGGGGTGTAGTTACTTGACATGGGAAAATTGGAGGTCCGAATGGCAGGTTGTCGTGGTTTGACATCTTTTACTTATTTATAAAGTCTGGGGGTTTAGTTGCTTGGAATATCAAAACCTCATTCCGATATGTGTTGATGTATAGTTACCTATATTAGACATCAATAGAGAATTTATGGCCGTTCATTAGTTAAAAAGACAAGTCTGTGATTGTAGTATCTACTTCCAGCATGATTAATAAATTCATGTAAACAGGTGATGGGCGCATAATTGTTTGAAATTTCCCAAATATCTGCACGGATCTACTGCACCAGAAGACCAATGGTCAGGGGTGTAAAGGGTTATTTGATAGTGATTTAAAGATTAAAATGAAAAATAAACAAGGCTAGCTATCATATTAAACGGCATGTCCATGGGCAGAAACGAATTATCCTTCAGGTGAGGTGACAATAAAGATGACGTAGTGAAATCTATAGAAAGTAAGGTGGGTTGGTGCAGGTACGTATAAAACAATTTATTATTACATCCCTGGTTAGTTTTAAAAACCTTTCTCTCCCAAATGACTTATTTCGCCTTTCTACTTATGAACCAATGAATCTCCAAGGTTAGAATACTAGGATCTGAACATCCTATATCGAAATGACCTTGACATAATGTGGCCAGGAAGACATTTTACATCCACCAAATTATCGTAAACTTTAGATCGTTGTAACTTACGTTATGGTGTATTAAGATTGATATATCTTTGTTCATTCTACTTTTTTCTGCTGTTAAGACTATAATCGTTACTACGGAATATTGCGGATTTCAAAAATATGTTATAATTGTCAATCTATAGATCGATTATAATTTGCATGTCCGAGAGTATATTTATGAAAAGATTATTGCCATAAAATAATAAGCAAATAAATAACTAAACACACCAGTAAATTTCAGAGTACAGTGCAATTTCTATATCCGCATATTCCTTTGACGTGTATTGTAAAAAGCTCTATAGTCATATATAGATTACCCTAGAATATCTATAGAAAATATAAAAAAAAAACTGTGAGTAAAATCGAATATCTTTATACCCAACATTAATGTCATCTCGTGGTCGATGCAGAATAGTGTTAATTCTTAGATATGTCTTTATTTGTTTCTGCCTGGTGATATTTTGCTATTAATTAAATGGTCTAAACAAGAACTACGTGGCGAGTGCATATCAGTCGCTTATTTTTACTAATTATGAAGTGAACTGAACCATATATAGAAATAATTAATCACTTCTACATCCAGATATAATTCCGTCCCTGGAGAAATAGATAGCGTTTATTTTTTTTTTTTTAAAATCTAGTAGCTGTCCACACAGTAGCACCACCATATATAGAAAAAAAGGGAAGTGACGTACGCGATGAAAGAATCCACCTAGAAGCAAAAATGAATAAATTAAGCCGATTAATTTCAAACTTATCCCTTATCAGCTAGAAAAACTCTTTGTAAATTATTATTTCTGATTTCTTTCACTGCATGCGTCACTTCCGTTTTTTTATGCCAAATAGCTTGAGTAGTTGAAACCACAATCAATTCTTATGGTATACATACTATACCAACACAATTATTTTGTGTGTTGAAGATACGTTAAAATGTTAGTATATATGTTAATCTTGTAACTTCCGTTTTATTTCTATCACTCAAATCATGAAATAATTTTGTCCTGGTATTGTTTATATAGAATTTTTGTAGCACATAATTTAAGTGTCGACCTACACTGAAAAAACACTTGTGTTGGATCTCAACACAAGTACTTGTGTTAAAACTAATCTACACAAGTTATGTGTTGTTTTGCATTGCATTAACACAAACTTGTGTCGATTTATAAAATCTTGTGTGTTTTTTCATATCATTTACACAAGTAATGTGTACCTTCCACGATTTGTTTTCTTTTTAAGAAAAAAACTCCATACAAAGTCTGAATTCGGGAGTCGTCAAGTTTTAAGAAAAGTAATAAAGGGCTTAATTCACATCTCGAAAATCACTGGAAGGGAGTGAGTACCAATTAATCAGACAATTGCCAGACAGACTTGAATGTTAATTGGTGTTAAGTTGTCTGTATAGTTAAAATGTCTGTCTTTTTTTATTGACCCAATAAACTGATAGACCAAATGAATATATAGTGTACATGTGATTTTCAGCACCCTGGTGTTTTCGAAAATTGATTCAATGTGCAATGAACAAAAAAAATGAGTAAAACTCTTAATAATGTAATTGGTTGATGTAATCGAAATTGGACAGTATTGGTTAACTGAAAAGTAACCAATCAAATTTAATTGATCATCCACGTGTATCTCATAATCGACTTATTGATATAATGGTTCTCCAAGTTATCTATACTTTTTGTCTGCGATATCACTTCGGTGGAAGCGGGCGTAAAATACAACTAACTAAGAAGAAGTATCTATACTTTAGTCATTGCGACAAATTCTTTCTTTGATATTATATCAGCGACATTCAGTTAGATGTAGTGACGTTAGCATCAACAGAGTGCTTTAGCCGTGATATTTTTAAAAAAAAAATTATAATGGTCACATAGAATACCAGACCGCAGGTTTGTAAATTTTTACAAAAAATAAAACCGTGTATTTAATTTAGCATGTATATATTGCTTCTATGTATATAATAATTCGTTTCGTTTAAAACAGTCAGATTTAGAACCACTGCCACTGACTGCACCGAAATTCTATTTATATAATGGCGCCACAAAGAAATTTTTTTTGATGTGTTCTAAAAGTGTTCCGCTAATTCAGCAATCTAATGAATCTGTCTTAATTTTTCTGAAATCGTGCTTAATTATTATTAGCTAATCGGCGCTACACCGTTGTTCAAATACTTATAATTGCAAGAAACCCCCGACTAGGACCAGCAGGTAAGAATCTGTCTTGATTTTATAGTAATGCCCGGTTGCAATTATTGGCCGCCATCTTTGATTTTTATAGACGTTCGGGCCAAAAAAAAGGAGAAATGTATATCCAGACATGGACTATAGCTAGATACTAACTTTTGTGTTAGTTGTTTATTTGAAATGTAATCTTAATATTTCTGTAAAAGAAAAAAACAACAACAAACAAATCAGCCTTTTTTTTATATCAATGTCATCAATGTGTAGGCCTAATAATTAGACTTTCAATGATTCAGAAGTTTCTCTACAGTTTCGTTATTTTTTTTCCAGTCATTGATGTTAGCATATGTACTACACAAAGAAAAACAGGTAACAGAATTTCATTTCCTTTTAATATATTTTTTAAATAATGGCCAATAATTGTTATTGTATGTAACAGGAAAAGTATTTATCTCTGTAGAGAGAGGGCGAGTAAATGGGGTTTAAAATTCACTAAATTCACTTGACACAAACTATGCCATTCATTTCCTTGTATTAAATTGGTCGAATCAATGATGGGTTAGTTGTATTTTACGTCCGCTTCCACCGAGGTGATATCGCAGACAAGGTCGAATCAAGTAGGCCCATGCTTTATGTCCTAGAATCAAGTAGGACGGGTAGTCTTCTTCCGTTTCCGCCCTTTTCCTGAACACTGTCTCATTCTATTGCCATCTGTGTATGTTGTGTTATATTAATTCTGCATAAACCTAGAGTTGTTGTTAGTGTTTGTCGGATAGATCCTTTATACTTACTGGCGCTAGGTAATTTTGAGGCTAATATTGTTCAATTTTATTTGAATGATTTGCTTGCGCGTACCGTAGGAGTGTATTAGAAACAGTGTTCGCGCAGGTTCGAGAACGGCTGAAGAACATGAAAACACTTTCATGAGTCTCGAACATGAGAGAACGGTATCCATGGTAACAAGATGAATTAAATTTATACAATCTGTTACGATAACTTGTTTGGTATTGACTTCGCTATTAGGCATACTTATGATAAATTATGACTCCATTTTACTCCTTTTCAATTCTTTGGATGACGATTACATCACCTTTTGATACGCCCACATGGAAATGTGGTCGCATATTGTCATCGCCCTCGTCCGTAGGTTTGTCCGTCGTCTACAGACCTGATTATTTTGAAATTGATATGTTGTTTATTTTAATGAGATGAATCCTATTTAATTTCAATAATTTCCGTTAGTTTCTTCTGGAGTTATGGCCCTTGTTTCACTTTGTGAAATTCATTTGCATCTTTTAAATTAGTAAAACGAAGACGTCTATTAAATTTCTGCGATTTCCGTGAATTATGTCTAGAGTTGTGGCCCTTGTTTCACTTTTTCGAACCTTGTGAATGCGCGAACAACAAAATTATCATCCGATTTGTATGCATTATTTAAATTAGTAAAACACAAAACAAAAAAATCTGTCAAATTTCAACAATTAAGGCCCTTGTTTCAGTTTGTAGAACCTTTGTAAACCCACAAACGACAAAAATTATAATCTTTTCTTGTAAATGCCCACATTACCTACAAAAGAATGAATATGCGACAATCCCTGTTGACTGAGCAAACGATTAAACTGCTGTGGGCATATGTTTCGTTGCCTGGCAACCTAACTTATTTGATGTTATACTGGCCACATACTACATCCAATTTTCGAACGGTATTAAACTTTTAAATTAATAAATGCACCCATGATGCTGTTTTCTCAGCAGTTATCGATGCGTCGACCATGTTTGTTCTCCCTCACACCAGCTATGAGGTAGTGTGGGATTTGAGAACGGGAACGTGTTCGTGAACGCATATGTTTCGTTGCCTGGCAACCTAACTTATTTGATGTTATACTGGCCACATACTACATCCAATTTTCGAACGGTATTAAACTTTTAAATTAATAAATGCACCCATGATGCTGTTTTCTCAGCAGTTATCGATGCGTCGACCATGTTTGTTCTCCCTCACACCAGCTATGAGGTAGTGTGGGATTTGAGAACGGGAACGTGTTCGTGAACGCATTCCAGACTGCTCAAGTCCGACAAGAACCCATTCTCCGTCCGTTCTCTGCACCGGAACACTGTTTCGAATACACCCTAGGGGTATTTAGCAAAGGGAGGAAACCGGAGGACCCGGAGAAAACCCACAAGGCTGGACAGGCGACCTTATTCCTAGTCACATTCAAGTGGGGAATCACATAATAATGGCCTATTTCAAATAAGATATTTGCATATAAAGAAAGTAGGCCTACAGCCTCTTTCAAAAAATGTGATATTTGCATATAAAGAAAGTACAAACTTAAATCGTCAGTACTGGATAAACTAGCCAAAGGATTCGGCTGAATCAATTGGCGCTAAACTTCACCTAGTTTATCCACTGACATACGCCCGAATCAAACATGTTTAATATATTTGGTCGAATTGTATTTGAGTGGTGTGTCCTGCTGTCCGCTTCGCCGAAGCATTCGTCTGATTTTAGAATTCATTAGCCAATCACCACTCATTTATATCGAGTGGGTATCACAAACTAGCAGTCGAACTGTGACACGGGTGCTACAGCCAACAAATTCCAACTACCATACTATCGGCTTAAATGCACGCCAATTGGACCTCAGGTTTTGTGTTCCATTGAAACTACTAGAAATGAAATGGGGTTTAACGTCCTACTATTTTGCTCCGAACTGGGCTAATGAAGACAGGCATACACCACACAGTGTGCTATGAGGGAAATTTTGCCCGGACAGCGGCACTGCGGTCTATCGAATTCCAACTGTCAAGGGATCTTTTACGTGGACGCCAACGTGTACACGGGACCTCGTTTTTTCGTATCATCCGAATGACTAGACAACTGTCCTTGTCAGGCCCTCCATCCTGCATCACTGACAAGGGGGAACCACGCCGGAAAATCTGGGTGAACTTTCTCGGCCAATGCAGGGATCGAACACCCTACCTCCAGGCTAGCGAGCCAGCGTCTTACCCACTTAGTCACCATGACGACTAGACAGGGAATCCATGCTAAAAAATCCAAATGAGCTTTCTCGGTCAACACTGGGAGCAAACCTACAAACTCCCGGGTAGCAAGCCAGTGCCTTACACACTAAGCCACATGGCTCTCTTCTAATTACTGTGACAGTCCAGTCACATGACAAACAAGGGTTATTAAAACAGATTTTCACGGCTTCGGTAAGATCTTCGGGATTCAAATGGTTTTAGATATCACACAGTTTGTATATGGTAAGGTATCTTAAACAGTTAATTACATGTCACATATTTATATTTTTCAGTTTCCATATTAGATGCCATAGCAAATCAAAGATCATATAATAAAATAAGTCAAAAAACCCAAATATGGGAAAAAAAAGAGCTGAAGAAATGGTGATTTGAGCACCTATGATTTCTCATAGTTGTTTTTTGAGGGTGAGTGTTCAATTCTAATAGAAAAGATTGTTGTTGTGGTATTTTAGAATCTCACCATAATGTGTTTGGCACAATATAGCCCGGTTGGAGCTGATGTGACATAAACCTTAATTTCATTTTATTATTTGGAATTTAAAATTCAGTTTAGTATAGTAAAACTGTGAAGTACATGTATGTGCACAGACAGAATCTTACTTATGTCCAGATACATGTAGATATGACTATCTCATCTGTGGGGACCTACGGTGACCAAGTGGGTTAGACACTGGTTCGCATATTTTAAGGTCGCGGGTTTGCAGTAAGACAATGCAGAACGGAGGGCCTTACAAGGACAGCTGTCTAGTCGTTCAGATTGAACAAAAAAACGTGGTCCCGTGTACACATTGGCGTGCATGTAAAATAGCCCCTGGCAGTTAGAATTTGATACAAGAGTAGGCCTTAGGGTCACGGTACCCGGCAAAATTTCTCTCATAGCACACTGTATGGCATATGCCCAACCTCATTAGCCCAGTCGGAGCTGAACAGTAGGACGCCGAACCCCATTCCATTTCATTTTTTTCATTTTGTCTCATCTGTGACAAAGCAAACCAACACATTACAATACAATGTAATTAAATTAAAACTTTCATCTTTTAACTGTCGAGTCGATTTAAGTCAACTAATACATAGTATGTTTTTTTTTCTCCGTTAACTACATCAGAAAGATCAAGACAGTTGAAAATGGCTATTCATATTATGGAAACTTTTTCTCACAGAGCTTGATAATCAGGTAAAATGTAAGTAACATACATATTTGTATTTTTAATCATCAACTAGTTCTATACACTTGCTTGGTAATCTAGTTATTCTTCTTGGGGCAATGCCTAGGACTCAGCTATTTCAAGTACTTGGCATGCTTGATTTTTGCCAATCACATCCATTACAGTAAATAGCAGTAAAATAATGATGGACAATATTTTACTTTTCAAATAGATTTCAATAGATTTTAAAGGGTAATATCCAATTTGTTGTCAATGGAAATAAAATAAGAATGGGTCCAAAAATAATTAGACATTGCCAAGTAAATAGGTGCTGCCAATGATATAGTAGGGAATCTGGATTTGCAGACAATACATGTATGAACCGGGTGAATAGTTGACCTATTATGAGACTTCAGTCCCAAATCTCAAGACTTTTTTCTGACTTGGCCTGACAATGACAGCTGTCTAGTCCTTCCGATGAGACGAATATTGGAATGCACGTAAAAGATCCCCTGGCAGTTGGAATTCGATATAAGAATAGATGATAGTGCCGCTGCCCGGGCAAAAATTCCCTCATAGCACACTGTGTGGCATATGCCCGTCATTATTAGCCCAGTATAGGAGCAGAACAGTAGGACGTTAAACCCCATTTCATTTCATTTTTCTGACTTTTAACCCATTTGATTTGAGCATAATAATCTGCCTGGGTCTTTAAGTGGACAAGACACAATAAGCGTTACGCAAAGTTGAAACCAAATAGAGACTCAGTCTCGATGTGGCAAAATAAATTGTTTATTTAAACATTGTATTCTTATTGCCTACTTTTTATTTTTTAGGTTGGAACACCCTTGAAAGAGTATTTGGTGTATGATAACAACAAGAGAACCCAAGCATCAATTTATTTTATACTTCTGGGAAAGAATGCATTTGACCCAATTTTTAAATATTTATTTTTTGTTATTAATGTTAAATTTTCTTCCAAAACACAATTAGATTTTAATTCTCTTCAAATATGTATGTATAATATAGCAAGTAAACTGACATATAAATCACTTAGAATTTGGTCGGAAATCATAAAGTATTTAATAGGCATTACTAGAAACCAAATGTAGATCAAATACACCCAGAATTACAAAAAACCTTGACCTACATTAAGGTGACTTTCCCTTGCTTATGAAATGAAATACGTTTTAATATCCTGCTTTTCTGTGTTCTTAGAGTGATTCTACCCTACCCTTATATCAAATATTTCAACTGTCAAGGGTTCTTTAAAGGGTACCCAGGGGGGCCGAATGGTTAACACGCACACATTTGATCAGAAGGTCTGTCATTGATTCAAATAATTCAATTTTCAAGGGTTCTTCAAAGTGTACGCAGTTGGGTTGGTTTCAATTCTGGGGGGTGGGGGTGGATGGCCGAATGTTTAGCACGTGCATGCTGTATCATACGGCCTCCTGTCATTGAGTCAACTGGCATGGTTTCGAATCCCCGGTTGTAGACAAGGAGTAGGGTCGCCTGTCCAATCTTGTGGGTTTTCTCCGGGACCTCCGGTTTCCTCCCACTGCTAAAGACCCCTACACGCTAGCGAATTATTGAAATAAAATTAAACCATATGTTAATCCCAAAATGATCTAGTTTGTGTCGAGTAGATGTTAAACCCCATTTCTCTCTGTCTCTCTCTCTTTTGATTCTGGGCTTGTACCCAATTATCCCTTGCCATATCCAACACTGAAAAGTGGGAACTATGCCGGAAAATCCAGTTGAAATTTCGCGGCCAACGCCTTATGCTCACTGAACCACTGTGGCTTATGACTTGTGATTGTATATAAATCTTTTGTACATATGATATTTTTTTATTTCAATCCTGTAATCTTGATGCTTTGCTTCTTTTATTTATAAAATATTCATTTTGTTTGGGGTTTTTTTAATGAGGAAAAGGCTATACATCATTTTATTACTCCTGCAAAATAGAGCAATTTTCTTTTGTTAGTTTTCTGTGTATGCTAGTTATTTCTAGATGCCTCACAAATCACTTGTAGTGTGATTTTGTAGCATTTTTCAGTTTTTGAAATTGTTTCAATTTAGTGCATAATTAATCTTATTAGTGCTTAGTTTGGATGTTATTAAATTTAGATATATTTGAATTATATATTTTGGGGTATGGGGTAGGGATACTGTGTACATATCTTTATATTCTCAGTTCTTGTTTTGGGGTAAAGAACAATTTAAATAGCTATTTTATATTTTGTGATGGGTAAAGTGGGGGGGGGGGGGAGGGTCATTATATATAACACAACATAATTTGTATTAGAATTGAAGTCTCTGTTTTTCTGTTAACATTTCAAATATCTATTTAGTTTTGATGTATTAATTTACTTTTTCCTATGATTTTATGAATAAATAATAATCTTACAAAATTTTTTTTTGTTTCCTTCTTTTATCAAACTTTACAGGTCTAACAGAGCAAAGAGAGGGGTCCTGCATAGAAAGGTTGCTATGCTGGATATAAATTGGGGAAAAATACAACACAAGTTTTTGATGATGGTTATACACAAGTTTGTATGAAACCACACAAGTTTCAGAAATTTCAACACAAGTTTCAGAAATTTTAACACAAGTTTCAGAAATTTCAACACAAGTTTCAACACAAGTATTGTGTAGATTTCACACAAGTTTCAACACAAGTTTTGTGTTGTTTGATACATTTTAACACAAGTTTTGTGTTGTTTGATACATTTTAACACAAGTTTTGTGTTGTTTCAACATTTAACACAAGTTTTGTGTTGTTTTAACACAAGTTTGTGTTGTTAAATAGAGACACCTAACTTGTGTTGAATTTAACACAAGTTTGTGTTCTTTCAACACAAGTTTTTTTTCAGTGTACGATACTGGTCGATTATGGGAGTAATACAATTATATTCAACTACGCCTATATCACAAACCCCTAATCAAAACATTCGATCTGGATTCATTAATGCAACAGCTTTATCTATATTATCTATAAAATGTTTGAAGCGACTCAGAACTGCTATTTTAGGTTTAAATTTGCTCTTTCGTGATAGAAAAAGACAGAAGTTATTAAATTATTCATAGTGATTAATATCATAAGATTGTGTTTATTAGTTATAATAATCATGTTGATTAAAAAGTAGGAAATTCAAGCAGACACCGGAAATTGTACTTGAGAGGATTGTCTTTTGGGGCGGGAAATTTCACCTGCTAGCTCTCGCTATTTCCTTTACAGAAACTATTCACTTCCGGGTCAGACCGATGACTACGATCTGTACAAGGCGATATTACATGTGTCTAATAAGGATTGGGATACGCGATAAAATCCACTTGATAAACTATTTTATATTGACAAACGGAAATATTTTAAGATTGTCTGGATTAACACAACTATCAATTTACGAAATAATGATATCTACAAATAAATCCGTCCGAAACACGCACAAATATTAATCTGCTATCTATATGGAGATATATGGAGCCATTGTCTTTTCTAGAGAGAGAGCCGAGAGAAATCGCCCGTTTAAAAGCTTTAATATTTTATACACAAAAATATAATAAATTATCTCGTGAAGAAGTAATTCCCTAATTTTAAAATAACGCTAGTTACATCGGGACTCTCGCAAAAGACATTATCAGGTTAGTAGACGAAGTCGCTGTCCCAATTATTGGGAGAACCGAAAATTATTAAATCAATTTCACGTCAATCGACGCCGGATTTTTAAGTGTGGGTATCGCTTCTCAGGAGGATGGGACGAAAACCCAAGATTTCGTGTGCACCTTGACACTTGGAATTCGATGATAATTGTATGCCCGTTTTCATTTGATATTTGTTGTTTATTGCTTGCAATGCTGTGTAGTTTGTGTCTTGTCCGTGGGTTTGTTTTATCGGTTGTGTTTGCGCGTAATACGGTCATCCTGCACTGATTATATCGTGTTCAGACCAGCTTTGATGTGGTGGCTGATTGGATCATGTCGTGATGTTGCTCTTCATGATTCCTCTTTAACATGGGTGTAGGAAGAAGGACCTGGCAAGAGATAACGTATAGTCGTTTGGATGGGACGAAAAACCGACATCCCATGTACATATTGGCGTGCACGTAAAAGATCCTCTGAAAGTTGGAATTCAATAGAAGGGTAGGCCGTAGCGCCGCTATCCGGGCAAAGTTTCCCTCACAGCGCAAGCTTGTCTTCATTAGCCCAGTCTGAGCAGAACAGTATGACGTTAGGCCCATTTCATTTCATTTTCCTACTTTTCTGCACCAATTGGACTGTCATATTATGATAGTGTTTCCTGCGTTAAATCTATTTATGATGTCATTCCATTGGAGATTTCAGCAACTATTTATACTCCCGGGATTTTTTTTTTTACAATTCGTTCACACATACATATTTGAAGTTAGCTGCGGATTGACAATGATTGCAACATATTCTTGTCTTCGTTCGTATATAAATTTACAAATATATGACGATGATCGCTGACACAGGCGTGCCACCAATCAATTTCTTGTCTTACCCATAGTGTTTTAATCGGTAATATTTATTCGGGCAGAAATACTGGCAATATATCATCAACGCCAGGCCTTTCCGATTCTAAAGTGTAGGCACTGATAAAAATTTTATGAATTTACCGAATGATAGAATGATGAACAACACTGAATGATATGTACAATCCAACTTAAAAGCCAAAGAGCCTTGCGTATTGCTAATATGTTATTCTCTATCGTTTAACATTGTTCAAATATACTGCACTTTACAATATCCATCATTATACCACCACTTTTCGAAAACTGCAAGTGAAATCTATCACAATTTATCATAAATTATAGTCATACTATTTTCATGCGTTACAATATGATATTTCGACATTATCCTAGTAATGACAACTAAGATTTTAATAGAGTATAGTGATGCTGTTATGGGGACATAACTTGAGTGCAACGTGAGTAATTCGTGATTTTTGGCAGTGGAGGGTATTCCATAATTAAAAATCCATGCTTTTAGGTGTGGTAATTCCATATTTTAAGTGTGCAGTTAAGTTTTTCACATAGCCAAGTATATGTAAAATAGAGCCTTTGAATACAGATTTAAGGTAAGGCACATGGTTAAGTGGAAGGAAAAATAAAGTATTTTTACTTAAAGTTAAGAAAACCTCTGAATACGGACCCATTTTTGTGAATCAACGAAAAATAAACATAATGCTTTTACTGAGTGTCATTAAAAGCCAATAAATAACTTCATATCTAATATAACATCTTAGTGCAGGTTTAGTTATTTTTTACTTCCTTAAATGTCAGACCACCAAATGAAACATTTGTAAAAACAGTGATTACTCAACAACGTTCTAAAATGAGTTTTGATGGACATGGTAATTTCCTCTGATAATCAACAATCGTTTGTTATCGGAGAACTGATAATATTTTAGTGTCCATTAAGATATATTCTTGGAAAGTTTCCTTACATGCCCCTTAAAGCGACATTTAAGAAATATGTAATGAGTTGGCCTAAATTGCCAGTCTAACGGCATCTGAATGAAGGAGATATAAATAGGGCCTAAATTAATTTCGTGAAAAATCGAGCCAGGCGACTCTTGTCAAGTAACCTCTCTTCGGGTTAAAAAATAAAATTGTCGATTTAATTTGGGAGTTGACCATCAAACACATACGAAACTTACGCCATCTATCTCCAATAAGATCCGCTTGGGAAAAGACACGAAGCTTGTTGGTCGACATTTTAATACCTAAATGGACGATTTTAGCCGAAAA